TGGATGACCTCGTTGACTTCACTGCCTACAAGGACTTATGTTACACTTCATGGTTTTATTCTGTTTCTTATTCTGTTTTGTCGCAGCTTGAAAGAGGAAGTGATGTGTGGGGAGGGGAGCTTTATTGTATCTAACTTTTTCTGATTGGTTGATTTTCTGTGTTAATGTGCTACTGTGGAGTTCTAGTAAAGAGAGACTTAAGCAAATATTCGCCTCCTGTCATATTTGGCAATGTCCCTACATGTCACAGGAAACTTTCTGAATTAAATAAATATAATTATTTTTTATTTCTCACAAAATGTATTAGATCCCATTTTCCTTAAGAGAGAGAAAGGCAGTGAGAGCACAACACAAAACCGGAAGGATCAATAAATGTTAGGAAGAGGCATACAAAAATCAATGGTAGACAAATAAATCACCTTAGAATAACAATACAATTTAAGCTCCAAATCTTTTAATATGTTAACAATTAATTGTCTGGTGATCATGCAAACTATCAATTTTGCAGAAAATCAAGTGATCATTTTAGTTCATCCTCAAAAACAAACTGTAAAAAACAGTTTAATGGACTTGGAATGTATTCATTGTATAGCATCTAGGAAAAGACTTTATTAAATTATCATAATATGCATAAATGCAATAACCACTGAAGAAAGAAAAATGGTAAGGAGATAGCATAGAGAACTGCATTAAAAAAGAAAATCCTTACAGCGAAAGCCAGTCTATCAATTTCTGCTAATGTTGGACAGGTGCCGTTCTAGGTTCTAGAAACACCTGAGGCTTGAGCCCAAATTAAACCTCGATAACTTCTCCTCTATTAGTTGGGGATATGTCAACACTAGCTTAAGCTCTCCAGGATGTCAATAAAAGCATAGCACATGCTGACAGTCAGGTATTCAATGCAATTCTGCCATGCTAACTAACTAATAAAGGGGCATGCAGCAAAGTTCTGTTCCAACGCAGCCAACCCAGATAACTACCTTGTGGAACACTATACTAGTGATCTTTCTTTTGATATCAGATGACTGTTTTATGTGAAATAAATTAGAATAAATACAATTTAAAAAACAAATCAGATGTTATCCTTCTGCCCCCTCCACTATCTGTAGATATCCAGGGCTGAAGAGGTCCACATCTGAGGCTTCATCCTCCATACCTCCTCTAGCAACACCAATGCTATAGGATAATGTCCAGTTTGTCAACTCTCCCTTTGAGTTTGTAATGTCCAGCTTGCATTTCACTTTTTCATTTTTCTAACTTTGATCACGATCTATTTACTACCATAGTCCTCAGTCTTCATCCTTGATCCATTCCTGCAGAGTCCCTCTGTTCCATTGTTTCTCTGGTGATCCATACACAAACTGCATTACTTTCTCTCCTTATCTAAACCATTATACTTGTTCTCCTTTCTACATCATGCTATTCTCCCTTGTTTCAAACTAAGTATGTTCTACATACTTATCTCCAGACTCAAACTCTGCACCATTTGCTTTTGAATCCTCCAACCTAATATTTTATATTCTCTATTGTGTGAACATGTCATTCTATCTAACCTTGTTATACTTATATCCAGCCTCAAACTCTGCACCTTTTATATATATACAGGTGATACTCTAAAAATTAGAATATCATGCAAAAGTTCATTTTTTTTCAGTAATGCAACGTAAAAGGGGAAACTAATATATGAGATAGACGCATTACATGCAAAGCAAGATAGTTCAAGCCGTGATTTGTCATAAGTGCGATGATTATAGCTTACAGCTCATGAAAACCCCAAGTCCACAATCTCAGTAAATTAGAATATTACCTGCAATCAATAAAACAAGTGTACAAAGAACAATATCGGACCTCTGAAAAGTATAAGCATGCATATGGACTCAGTACTTAGTTTGGGCCCCTTTTGCATCAATTACTGCCTCAATGCGGCATGGCATGGAAGCTATCAGCCTGTGGCACTGCTGAGGTGTTATGGAAGACCAGGATGCTTCAATAGCGGCCTTCAGCTCTTCTGCATTGTTCGGTCTCATGTCTCTCATCTTTCTCTTGGCAATGATTCTCTATGGGGTTCAGGTCAGACGAGTTTGCTGGCCAATCAAGCACAGTAATCCCACGGTCATTGAACCAGGCTTTGGTGCTTTTGGCAGTGTGGGCAGGTGCCAGGTCCCGCTGGAAAATTAAGTCAGCATCCCCATAAAGCTTGCCTGCGGAAGTAAGCATGAAGTGCTCCAAAATCTCCTGGTAGACGGCTGTGTTGACCCTGGACTTAATGAAGCACAGTGGACCAACACCAGCAGATGACATGGCTCCCCAAATCCACACAGACTGTGGAAACTTCACACTTCAAGCATCTTGCAGTGTGTGCCTCATCATTCTTCCTCCAGACTCTGGGTCCTTGGTTTCCAAATGAGATGCAAAAGTTGCTCTCATCAGAAAAGAGGACTTTGGACCATTGAGCAACAGATCAGGTCTGTTTTTCTTTAGCCCAGGTAAGACGCTTCTGACGTTGTTTGTTGTTCAGGAGCGGCTTGACAAGAAGAATAAGACATCTGAACCCCATGTCCAGGATCCGTGTGTGTGTGGTGGCTCTTGATGCACTGACTCCAGCCTCAGTCCACTCCTTGTGAAAGTCCCCAAAACTTTTGAATGGCCTTTTCCTGACAATCCTCTCCAGGCTGCGGTCATCCCTGCTGGTTGTGCACCTTTTTCTTCCACACTTTTCCCTTCCACATAACTTTCTATTAATGTGCTTTGATACAGCATTTTGGCAACATCCAACTTCCTTCACAATTACCTTTTGAGGCTTTCCCTCCTTATGTAGGGTGTCAATGATGGTTTTCTACACAACTGTCAGCAGTCTTCTCCATGATTGTGATTCCTACTGAACCAGACTGAGAGACCATTTACAATATTCTAATTTACTGAGATTGTGGATTTGGGGTTTTCATGAGCTGTAAACCATAATCAACGCACTTATAACAAATCACGGCTTGAACTATCTTGCTTTACATGTAATGCATCTATCTCTTATATGTTTCCCCTTTTACGTTGCATTACTGAAATAAATTAACTTTTGCATGATATTCTAATTTTTCGAGTATCACCTGTATATATACATATACACAAGAATTCTTGCCGCCCTAGACAACAATCCATTTTGCCGCCCCATCATGAATGCAACTACATTCTCTTACACAGGGTTATTCAAGAAAACACACTGCATAGAAACACTCATCCAGTATATGCGTCCATATACACACACTACCTAATACATCCATCCACACAGACTGCCTATTACATACAATCAACCATACGCACACAGCCCAATACATAAATTCACACACACCGCCTAGTACATACATTCATACACACATACTGCCTAATGCATACATCAGTAGATACATATTGCCTCATACATATATCCATACACTCTTTTTCAATGCATTTGGTGGTATTTAATTTATAATGTTGGGATTTAATTTGTTACAGTGAACTTTAAGTAAAAAAAAAAAATTGGTTTAATATAGAATTAAATAAATATATTATAAATATAATTTAATATATGTATCTATTTACATGGTCACACACACTCTCACAGACATACACACACTGACATGTATACAAATTGTCACTCACAAAGTATCACACACACTGCCGTTGACACAATCTCACTCACGCACACAGTCACTGACACACACACACTCAGTGGCATTCACAGTGCCACTTATGATTTACAATCATACACTTATACTCACAATCAGTTCCCCTTACCTTCAGATACATAAGTGCTGTGAATGGAGGAGAGGTAGCTTCCTTTATTCCTGCTGGGGAGCAGGAGAACTGTGCACAGTGAGCACAGGCAACTTCCTGTTCACCTCAGAGTGCTTCGGTGTTCACAGGCAGGGGGGAGCTGGGTACCAGGTCACATCCCAGCTTCCCCTGCCTGCAGCAAGCACAGTGCGCTGCTCAGGTGCTGGGGATATAGCACACCCCATTCTTTTAAATCTTCCAACCCAATATTTTATGTTCTCTGTATGAACTTCTCCTTCCATCTAACCTTGTTATTCTTACCCACACCCAGTGTTGGATGTAATAGTAATAAAAAAATATGCATGGCTGTTCAAGAATTGAATATAAGTGACTCAAGGTTTAGCATGGGCAAAATTGAGTGAAACACAATTAATGTAAAGGAGTCAACATTACTGAACAATCATTAAAACCTTGGAACCTGTATGTTAGATTTGAACAGAAATATTGGATGTTTGACAAATATGTACTTAATTAAATCCATCTCTTATGGTGTCTATTTGGACATGTTCTTCTTTTGACATTCAAATTTGGCAGCCGTTTGCCTACATTTTACAGTTGAACTCTATACACCAGATATAAAACAGATGTAAAAAACAGGCAATATTACCATATATCTGGAATGTCCTAAAAATAAAAAATAAAGAACATAGTATAGCCTGTATAAAATAGACAAAATAAAAATAAATATAAAATTGCCCACTCACGTGGTGCTGAGCCGTAAATAGTGGCTCAGACTATAGGCGCCTTGTAAAATATTCCTGGAGACCACGATGCTGGAAAAGCAGGTTTAGTTGATCACTGTAAAAATTCCCTTGTATTTTGGATTAAAAAACAAATCAGATAATACAGGAACAAACTTTATTTGCATAAAATAGCATAAAATGGAATCTCCCAAATATATTGCACTAACGCGTTTCGACCGTAATGGTCTTTATCAAAGTGCTACAATATCAAACAAACTTAACATTTAAATATGTTCAAAAAAGGCGCGCTATAATTTCTTCGCTGGTTCACTTCCAGTATCCGGCTATTACCTCCGATCATCTTGCGTGTCACAGGGCACTTCCGGGTCCATGATCGTGTCTCCCATGCGTTCCAGTGAATCTCCGGTTCCAAACCTATTTCCGGCTTCAGGGCACTTCCGGGTCAGCGGTCGCATCTCCCCTACGTTTCAATGGCCTCCGGTCCCAATCAAATCAGTGTACTTTCCTCAAATGTCCCCAATACACATGTCCATTATATAAATAAAAATGACCATTTATATATTTATATTTTTATTTATATAATGGACATGTGTATTGGGGACATTTGAGGAAAGTACACTGATTTGATTGGGACCGGAGGTCCATTGAAACGTAGGGGAGATGCGACCGCTGACCCGGAAGTGCCCTGTGATACGCAATGTGACCGGAAGCCGGAAATAGGATTGGAACCGGAGATTCACTGGAACGCAAGGGAGACACGATCATGGACCCGGAAGTGCCCTGTGACACGCAACGTGATCGGAAGCCGGCGATCAGATGATCGGGAGTAATAGCCGGATACCGGAAGTGAACCGGCGAAGAAATTATAGCGCGCTTTTTTGAACATATTTAAATGTTAAGTTTGTTTGATATTGTAGCACTTTGATAAAGACCATTACGGTCGAAACGCGTTAGTGCAATATATTTGGGAGATTCCATTTTATGCTATTTTATGCAAATAAAGTTTGTTCCTGTATTATCTGATTTGGTTTTTAATCCAAAATACAAGGGAATTTTTACAGTGATCAACTAAACCTGCTTTTCCAGCATTGTGGTCTCCAGGAATATTTTACAAGGCGCCTATAGTCTGAGCCACTATTTACGGCTCAGCACCACGTGAGTGGGCAATTTTATATTTATTTTTATTTTGTCTATTTTATACAGGCTATACTATGTTCTTTATTTTTTATTTTTAGGACATTCCAGATATATGGTAATATTGCCTGTTTTTTACATCTGTTTTATATCTGGTGTATAGAGTTTGCTCTCACTATATTATTTATGTTATTTTATTATATACTTATTGTGTGATTTGGAGTGATTCACACTTGGTGATTTGAGCACTTTTATCAATTTTCTTCCTTTCAAATATTGTGTTTTATATGTATTTTACAGTTGAAGAATAGACCCAAAGGCCCAGTACTTCAATGCTTTTTGCACATGTGGGCAAAAGAAAAGATTATGCCTTTTGACCATTTGTCATGATATTTAAAATGACATTAATTGCAGAAAGCAATGCTGGTGTTGATGACCCCATTCTGGCTGCCTCAACTGTGGTTTCCATAATGAAATACCCACATAAGATACCTCACATAAGATACCCACAGATTACCCTACCCAGAGGAAATGTCTTAACTGCAACTCGTACAAAATGTCTATTGGTCTAACGGTTTGGTTATTTTCAAGGGAAACTCATCTATGAAAGGATTTTTGTCAACAGCTAAAATTTTTGTTGCTAGGATTGTGACCCCTAATACCAGACATACCACAACTCTAGATGCAGAATAAGTTGGATCTGTCCTAAAGCTCTAGATGAATGCACCCGTCTCTAGATAAACTGCATTGGAAGACATGGTCAGGTCCAGAGTACAACTAGAGTCCAAAAAAACATCAATAACTGGCAATTATAAAATGTCATTAAATAAGCATATGGCTGAGAAGAGGGAAGTTCGGAACAAAAAAGAAAGTAGGAGTTTGAAACATCTAATGCTTTTTGTGCCATAGAGTTATAGGCCAGTTTCACAATCCTACTGTCTTCTCAGCCTGATGTTTATCTAATATATTTTCAGGAATAACAATTATTTATGGTTCACTGGAGACTTTTTTGTACATTCCGTGTCTGATCTGAGTTTTTTGTGCATATATAAGTCAGCATGGTCTGTATGGGCTAGCTGATGCATCGAACATGGTCTGATTTCATGCTGATTTACTGTACACAAACATCTATTGTGCAGCTTCTGTAAACCTTATTCATATTACTCATTTATTGCATTTTATTCAAAGTTGGAAGTCATCCCGAGTTTTAGAATTTGTACAGTCGTGCTCAGAGGATACTCTAAAAAAAACTTTTTGCATGTAGTGCTTTACCTATTACATTGAGATAGGGTTTCCACTTTTAAAGCCTTAACATTTTTTGACTAATCTTACACTATAAGGAAAAAACAGAATAATGGCTTCCTCCTCCCCCAAAGTTTTTTCTAACTTTTTGTAATAATTCACAAACATGCGTATTGGATTTTTTTTGAAAGCGTATGAAACCCGAACCAAGTTAGTATGACAGAATTGTGAAAATGTCCAGTTAAGTTAAGGAATGGTAGTCTGGATGAATGATGAAGATGTTGGGTGTCATCTGTGCATCAGCTCCCCTCCTATCCCTCCTCAATTCCCCTCTCACACCTTTTTTTTCTTCCTTTTTTCTATTTTTTAACCTTCCTTATAGCAATGCCCAGTAGGAAGGCTGAGCTAGGCAGCCCACTACTATTATTAGCCAACAACAATTCTCTCCTTTTCCTTTTTATTTTCATTCTTTCTCCTTTTTTAAAAGTACTCTGCACCTTCTTTCTCCTTTTTACAAATACTCTGCTCCTTCTTTCTTCTATTCTACAAGTACTCTGCTCACAGACAGACACACACACACTTACATACACACACACACACACACACACTTACATACACACACACACACATACACTTACATACACACACACTTACATACACTTACATACACACACACACACACACATGAACATACACACACAGGTAAGAGCTCCCTCACCCCTCGGATATGAACTCTGCCACCTGCTGAAGTGAAGCCCCACTGGACCCCAGGGACAGATCCACACCAGCTCTCCAGGTAGGGAGGCTGGGTGGACAGTTAATATTAATAATTTTTGTGTCTGTAAGTGTATGTGTGTGTGTGTCTGTAAGTGTATGTGTATGTAAGTGTATGTGTGTGTAAGTATATGAGTAAGATCTTGCTGTTGAGAATCATTGGATTATTAGTCTATTACTTGTTTCTGGGCTACAGCATGAGCCCAAGTATAAGAAATGTATTGTGTAGATTTAGAGATGTCAGTGAAACTGAAACTGGCAATCCTAAGAGATACAAAATTGCAAAAGAGTAAATATAACCACTAAATCGGAACTATAGTTAAGTATACTATTGTATTAGTTTCCCTTGAAGGGAACGATCAGTATCCATGTGCTTAGGTTATACACTCTATAGAGTAAAGAACTCAGCCTGACAGTCTCTAGTACCAGATACAAAGATTAAATTATTCCATGCATGACTGTTTTCTCAAATAGTGCTTTTACCAAACGGGTCAGATGAGGCTCAAGGAAGCAAGGTGAAGGGTCAGTGTAGGACCCATCTAGGGGGGTCTGCCTTGACGTTGGCAGGCGGGCATTCCCTCCAGTGGCCATTGGAGTAACTAAATGACCTCCATTTGTTTAAATATACATAGGGATTAAGGAGAGAGCACAGGTTTTTTCTTTGGTTTTTTACTATATGTATTGGAGCTGATGTGTACTGTGGTCGTTACTGCCGCAATTAGATTATAGGTGTTATTAAAAATAATATTAAATGATATTAAAAATTGGAGCAAAAATGACAACTTCTGTGAGCTTGGAAAAATAAACCAAATAAATGTTTGAGTTCAGATTCACATTCAGATTTTGAGTTAAAAAGGTTTTAATAATATGTTATTCTTTATGGATTTATTTAAATTTTGCTCAAAAATGATTTTTGTGTGTGAAGGATTTTGTTTATTACAAAATGTCTAAATATATATATATGCTGCAGATGTGCTGGTGACAGGTGAGGCCAATGAGGGACAGGCAGATCTGGCTGCATCAGCTGCAAGGGAAAAATCTGGTCTGACTTTGATGCCACAATGTCCCGGTCCTTCCTCCGTTTCTTTTTATTCTGAATATTTGCTCTGCATGCATTCTTGAAGGAGGAGACAGCCTGATAAGTTGTGTGTTTCCAAGTCTCCAGATCAGAGGTTAAAGCAGACCAGTGACGATTGTCAATATGAAGTGATTTTTTTTTCAGAGAGTCTTAGTACCTCTTCTCTGGTGCTTTTCTGTTGAAGTATCCAGTGGCGATTTCACCATACAGAACAATCTTACATAGGCAATGATCTTACATCCTGGAGACATGCACTGCCTAGTGTAGCTGCCACTTCAAAAACATTGCCTCAATGCTGGTGGTCTCTGTCTGTTTGAGAATCTCGATGTTCGAGATGAAGTCATTCCAATGAATGTTGAGGATTGTGCAATCAAGGCGTCGCAGGTGATGGGGATAGGTAACCCATGACTCAGAACCATACATGAGAGTAGTCAGTATGAGGCTTTGTACACAGTGATATTTGTGCCTCTCTTCAGATGTTTGTTGTTCCAGACTCTCTTATACAGTGTATCAAATGTTATGTTTAACTTTGCCAATCTGCTTTCTCTCTCTTTGTCAATTTTGGCATCTGAAGAGATGATGCACCCAAGGTAGGTGTAGATGAACTGTCTTCAGCACTGATTCACCCATGGTAATGTGAGGGGGGAGGAGGGATGATAATCATGCGGTGCCAACTGGTAGAGAACTTCTGCCTTTTTCAGGCTGACTTCAATCCAAAGTGCTCAGCAACCTCTGAAAAGCAGGATGTCATTCACCGTAGAGCTGTCACTGTGTGGGAAACAAGGGCAGCATCATCAACGAAAAGCAGCTTGCTAATGAGCTTGTCCACTTGTCTTGGTGTGCGCCCTTAGTCGCCTCAGGTTAAATAGGCAACCATCGGTGTGGTAATGATATAGACACTATTCTCTTTGTCAAGGTTGACAGTGGCCCTTTAAAGCATCAAGCTGAAAAAGATTGTGAAGAGAGTTGCAAGAACACATCCTTAAAACAAAAAAACACAGTGCACCTTTATTTGTTTTTAGGTTTTGAAAGTGTATGTATTGCACTATAGGTGCTGCTTTTATGTTTGCACTATTTATCATTCAGTTTATTATATTGACAGGAGACTTTATTGTAGCAACACTTTTTACTTTTTTTTTTTTTGTGAATGTAAGAACACGACCTTGTTTCCTTGTTCAACAGTACCATTGTATAGATTTTTTCTGCTATGGAGAGCAGTGTTATCCCCCAATAGTGATGTCGCGAACATGAAATTTTCGGTTCGCAAACCGCGAACGCGAACTTCCGCAAATGTTCGCGAACCGGGCGAGCCCGGCGAACCGCCATAGACTTCAATGGGCAGGCGAATTTTAAAACACACAGGGACTCTATCTGGTTGAAGGGGGGGGGAGGAGAC